ATCCTAGTGCTATCTTCCTCCATGGCTCACTCTACCACTATGTGGTACACACCAGCCTTCCTCCCTTCTCTCTTGGTTACTAACTAGAAATGGGGAAGGGAAAGGGTTTTGGCTCTAGAGTCAAACCATTCAGTCATCTGTTGTGTGGCCCTCAGCAAATTATCTACTAGCTTTGTAACTCAATTTTCCCATATTTAAAAATATGTCCATAGGATTACTGACATTTAAATATGATAATATTTATAGCACAGGAACTATGCTATTTTGTAAGATTGCAACAAATACAATTCTTTTTTAGCCGGTGTGGTGGCACACACCGTCAATCCCAGTACTTGGGAGGTTGAGGCAGAAAGATTGCCAAATTCTAGGCTAGCCTGAACTATATAGGGGGAACCTGACTAAATAAATAAATACTATTTTTATTATATTTATTTGTTTATTTTTTGTGGTACTGGGGCTTGAACTCAGGGCCTACACCTTAAGCCACTCCTCCAGCCTTTTTTTTTTTTTTTGTAAATGATTTTTTTTTTTTTTTTTTTTTGAGATAAGGCTGGCTTCAGACTGCAATCTTCCGATTTCTGCCTCCTGAATAGCTAGGATTAGAGGCTGAGCCACCGCTGCCTTGCTAATTAATACTATTTTTAAAAATTGTGTTAGTTGGGGAACAGTGGTTTAGTAATTGGATGTGCATCCAATATCACCCTGCAACAAATATACCAAGATCCCTTAAGAGCACACCGTGTGCTAAAAACAAGATGATCTGATAAATTATGAACATTTGTCTTTTGGCTCTGCCTCAGACCTATTTCTGGGCACGGACCTAAATACAAGACTGGTGTAACGCTAGGTAGACAGTGAGGATGATGTTCTGTAAAGGAAAAATATGCACTGCATGTTGGTGGAGTTAATGGGAATACAGTTCGTGCTGGCCAGACACAAGTCACACATGTCAGACTTGTCCTGTCTTCCTGAAATTACATTAAAGAGCTTTACCTTCCTCCACTCTCCTCTGACTGCCTAACTGCCACCCCCACTCCCCGCCAGATTGAGAACCTTCCTTCCTGAGATTAAAACATTAATTGCTTTATTTACAAAAATGAATAAGGACCCCGTCCAGGTTCTAAAGGAAAACACCCCATTTAGGACATAAGAATAGAAATAGCATAGGGAATAAGAACTTGATTCAGGATTCAGACAAGCTCTGGGTTTGAATCCTGACTCCAAGACATTTTAGTTCTATGACTTACGCACATTGCTTATCCCTTTGAGCCTCATTTTCTTCTCTATAGGAAGAGATAATAAGTGCCTGCCACAAGGGGTTATTGTGAGGGACAAACAGATAATGTATGTTTGGTAACTGGATGAGTGCCTGGCATGCGTGTGTTTAATAATGATAGCATTAACAGTAGCTTTGGTCTCATCAATAAATGAATTTTGCTGTCCTTTACAACCTCTTAAGATTTTGAGGGTGACTCCACACTCATGGTGAAATCTAAATTCATCTGCTATCAAGAAGTTACCTTGACCAAGTACCTGAAGAGCAACAGCCTGGTTAGGTTAGGGCAAAACTGATGTGAAAAAATTTAAATGAGGGCTGGAGTGTAGTTTAGTGCTCTTGCCTAGCATGTATGAGACCCTAGGTTCCATCCCCAGGAACATGAAAAAAAATATTGAAACATACCAATATATTTGTCCAGGTTGATGAAATTATTCCTAGCTTAAAATTTTCAAGCCAGGCTCCAAATGGCTGGGAAGGGAAAGCCAGGACCTTGTACATGTTAGGCACATGCTCCACCGTTGAGCCCCACTCCCTAACCCCCAAAGACACAAAGAAGTAACAGTCATTATCCTTTTACTTACGCAATCTCCCCCTTTTTTTTTTTGGGGACTGGGGTTTGCACTCAGGGCCTACACCTTGAGCCACTCCACCAGCCCTTTTTTGTGAAGGGTTTTTTCAAAATAAGGCCTTGCTAACTACTTGCCCAGGCTGGCTTCAAGCCATGATCCTCCTGATCTCTGCCTCCTGAGTAGCTAGGATGACAGGTGTGGGCCACTGGTGCCCAGCTGTCCCACATTCTTCTGAGGCTTCATACTGGTTGTTGGTGAGAATCTCTCTCTGTGCCTCTTGCTATTCACCTAACTTTGCCTTCCCCCAGCTCTCACATAACTAAGCCACGTTGTTCATTCTCAATGTTCTCTGTTTAATGCACATGAATCTCATCTTCCCAATCAAATTATAAATAACTCTAGGGCATGAGTCTTCAATTAGTTCATTTTATATTTCCATAATATCTGCCACTCTGTTATTCCTAATCATCCATGATGATCGTGAGTGAAATTTTATCAGCTTGTATGAAACATATAGCTTGTCTTAAGTCAGTTGGGATGAATGAGATAGATTTGGAGCAAATGCTACTTCCCTACATCATATCATCTGATTAACTTAGGAAATTTCCTCTCTCTCTCTCCCTCTCTCTCTCTTGTGGGGCTGAGGTTTGAACTTAGATCTTCATGCTTGCAAAGCAGGTGCTCTACCACTTGAGCCACACCTCTAGCTCATTTTACTCTGGTTATTTTGGAGATGGGGTCTTTAGAATTATTTGCTCAGGCTGGCCTTGAAACTCTAACCTCTTGATCTCAGCCTCCAAAGCAGCTAGGATTTCAGGTGTGAGCCACAGGGCCAGCTTCCTGTCTCTTTTTAAAGACTTTGAATTTTCTTTCTTCCATAGTGTTGACAATGAACACCAGCTCACTGAATTCTGTATGGAAAATGCCAGTTCTATTTTTGCATTTGGTTTTGCAAAAACTTGAATTGCCATCATCACTTGGAAACCCCTCTAGAAGAAAACAGGGCAGTTCCTCAGTACATCTGCAACTCAACAGCCATGCAGGAGGGAAAGCAGAAAGGATTTTGCCTCTATCACATCCAAAAGGGGAAATTTGTTTCTCATCCTAGCTTGAATGGTACCTATTAACGCTACAAGAATTCTCACTTTGGACAAATATCCTGATTCCTCTGAAACCACATAGTATATTTGGAATCTCTTCATCAGACTTATAATTCTTATTATAGCAACGTCACCATAGGGAGCTTTGGGACTATTCTCCCATTGAAGTATAATCCACGAGATCACGGACAGATTGTACTTATTATCCTTGAACACTCTCCTTTCTTTATAATCTTAGAAAAGTGTTAAAGAAAGAGACAAGCTGGGTGCCAGTGGCTCATGCCTGTAATCCTAGATACCCAGGAGGCAGAGATCAGGATCATGGTTGGAAACCAGCTCCACAGGGGGCAAATAGTTCTCAAGACCCTATCTCGAAAAAGGGCTGGTGGAGTGGCTCAAGTTGCAGGCCCTGAGTTCAAGCCCCAGTACAGCGAAAAGAAAAAAAAAGAAAGAAAGAAAGTAATCAGTATTGTAGGAAATACCCTCTACCCATGAATACTTGCACATTTGGAGGGATGGATGATCAAGGCTGACGCAGGAAGAAGGAGGTTTGAGTGTGTGTGCACACAGCTGTGTATGAATCAGAAACTTCTCAAAGGGAGGAAAATGCTTAATCCTATCAGTCAGATTGATGAAAGAGGGCTATTTATAGACCTTAAATTGGCATGAGCTATATATATATATTGAGTACCTGTTTGACCTCCTTTTTCAGAGCAACTGAGATGAAAGAGAGAAAAAGAAAATGTAATGAGAAAAGATAGAGAGATTCAGATCATGGCTATATATTTTTTCATTGCATTTATAGCTGTAGATGACTGGAAAGTCTCCAAGAGTCATAGAATTCGAGCAAATGGGATTCCATTTTTGAAAAAGGACTGGAGACAACAGATCACTGAAGTCTGGGTGTGGAGGTGAAGAGGATTATCTGGATACTGCACTGATTTTATTTGACTTCAAGGATGTTCTCCAGTGTCATTATTGCTCAGGTGCCAAAGTGTCTCTGAGCTATGCATGGAACACAATGTTGTCCAGAGAAACTGGTTCATGGGCACCAGGATACAGTAAGCCTTCACAGAGGAACTCTGGTAGGGAAACACAACTAGGCCTGATAGTCCTGCACCCCTTTTTCTACGAAGAAGGGAAAGCCCTCTATCAAAGACAGCAGGCAAAACTCCCTCTTCTGAAGTGAGGAGAGGAACCAGCCATAGCCTGACACACATCTCCAGGGCTTTTCTGGAAAGAGAAGGATGTATCGTCTGCAGACAGAGTTGTGTTGGGGACCCTCTGCCCTTCAGAGTGCAGTTGAGGAGGGATCTTAGTGTGGCCTGCACTGGCACTCTCAGAGCCACCCAGGCTTCTCACCTTCTGAGAACATCACAGGGTCTTCCGTGGGTGTTAACAGATAGGTGGATTCCATTAGGTAACTAGAGAAACTGCAAACTACCCATCTGTAAAAGAGCCCAATTTGTCCCCTCTTTCACAACTTACTCATCTGTGAGACGAAAGTAAGAAACCTGCCACATGTACTTCACACTGTGAAAGTGCTGCATAGGATGGAAAAGACACTATTATTCCTGTTGTTATTTTTATCACACACCCCAGAGTGTCCTATAACATAAAACAAGAAAATATCTACTAAATATCAGAGAGAGAGAGAGAGAGAGAGAGAGAGCCAGTTCTGAGGGTGGCTGCATAAAAGCTAGTTAAAAACCCACGTCTCTGTCTGAATCAGAACTGCCTAGTAGAGGGTGGGGATACCTATATTTTTAACAAGTTCCCAGGCAGGGCTGGGTGGGATGCATAATCAGGCAGGATTGTGACCCCTGTGTGCTCCATTCTATGGGCAGAGCTGTCCAGTCTGCTTTGGAGGAAGGGATGTATGACATACATCACTGCCCATACCTCTTGAACTTGACCAACGGAGGTGACCTGACAAACATCTGTAATAGTAAGAAGCAAACCCAGAATTTCAGAGGGCTAAAGTCCCACCGGAGATCCCCACGACCCCCGAGGGGGGATGGAGTGCTCGGTGGGAGAAGGAATTGGACTCACCTACAATGATACCACAAGCACTGACCAATCCGATCTCTTTCTTCAGGGCTACTCCGCCCCCTCCGGCACCGGCCTCGGGGCTGGCCTCCGGCTTGCTCCCACCTGGGTGGTTCTTCTCAGTGTTGTTTCGGTGCCTGGCTCCTTTTGCCATTTTTCTCAGTAAGATTTCAACCTTCAAAAGCTATCTCTTTCTAAATTCGTATACTGGTAAATATGTGTATGTAGAGAGAAAAGGACTTTTAAATTAAAACGCCCTTTTCCGAAATAGGGACCACTCCACTCCGACCTCTAAAAGAGACAAGCAGATAAAAGGGAAAACTGAAAACAGTCCTACTTTGTATTGACACTTTCTTGTCACTCCTGCTTACAAACAAGGCAAGTGCTGCTTTAAAAAGTGGGGTATATATCTTAAATATAAAAATATAACTGTGCCAGTGATTCCAGCTGGAATTCTGAAAGGATTTGTCTTCAGAAACCAGGATGGAGGCTTTTTTCAGACGCTTCACAAAGATTGTCTGGCTTTCCCTTCAGTTCTCCTAATAAAACCGAGATTTGTCTTTACCTCTCTTTAGTCCTTCCTTTATGATGAGGCTAAAAGTAGTTTTCATTCACCGAAGGGGAAAAAAGGCAATCCTCAGGTACTTTCTTCTCTTCCAGAAAAACAAGTGTGGACCTGACCGGTTTGCTCTAGATCTGTTTTCCACCTGCTGTGGGTTTCTTTTCCCTTCCCGGCTTCTGCTTCCGCTGTCCCTAGATGTCCTCTCTGTCTCGCTGCTCCCTGGCTCTCTGGCCTTCGCGTCCTTGTTTTGCTGGGTCCGCGCCCCGCGCTCAGGGCGCCGGCCGCTCCATCGCTCGGGTTCCAGCAGAGTGGCTGCTCGGCTCGTCCGTGAGCGTCCCTTCCAGCCTGGGTTTTATTTGCCACTGAGGCTCCGCCCCCACCTCCTCCGTCCTCTGCATCCTCACTCCATCCCCTCCCTCCGCTGCAATTTAAATATTAGCACATACCCCACAAAGATCGCCGAGGAAAAGGCTTAAAACGTTGCTCTTTGTAATCGTCTCTTTCCCCTTTTAACTCAGTGGAAGAAAAAATCCTTCCATGTCAACTGTTCCGAGGGAGCTCCTGAGCTAATATTGCATTACAGCTCCTCCGGCGTTTGTGAGCTTTATAAATAAGGGAACAGTTGTGCAGATACTTTTAACGCCATTGGAAAGAAACCGGGCAGTGTACTAAAATATTGAAGTCTAGGGGCTGGGGGACGTGGCTCAAGTGGAAGAGCACCTGCCTGGTAAGGCAAGCTCGAGCCCTGAGTTCAAATGCCAGTACCATTAAAATAGTACTACTAATAATATATGATAAATAAGTCCAGATAACTTGAGGACTCAGGAGAGAAGGTTGTGGGGACATCGTTTTCAAGCTACTTTTTGCAAATGGGGCAATTCATGGGCATGGAGGAGAACAGAAGGAAATAAGAATAATGCACAAGACTTTCCTTTAGTGATCGTAGCTCACAATGAAGAATATAAGAAGTAAAACCATCAGGTAGATGCTGCATCCTCACTGTTCACAGCTCTTATTTACAGTTGACTGAAACATGAAAAATATGACTCTGATGTTGGGAGATGCATAACTTATTACCATAGTGATACTGTACCTCCACTTCCCTGAAGAATTTCATTCTGAAATTGCTGCTTTACCACAAGAGCGGTGATGCCTATTTCTAATTGCAAAGTACTTTGCAAACAGCATGAAGTGATACAGCAGACAACACTGTAAGTCTGAAGTTATTTTGAATCTTATTATATATTATGCAAAATTATTTGATTTTAAAATGGGGGTAAAACTGACTACCAACTATAGAAATTTGGCCTCACTTGAGGTTTCAAGGGAAATAAAAACGTAACTGTTTAATGGGGCTGGATGAGTTACTGTAGCAGAAGCTTCTCCAAATGGAGTCAAATCTAATCAGTTTTCTTTGCAGTCTGCCCCTTGATCACTCAGCAAGAGGTTTCAAAGGTTGCATTCTCAACCTCTTCTTCTGCTAGTTCAAGATATAACAAACTGAAAACCTCAGCAAAAGAGGTGGGGGTGGTGTATAAAGAGATTTTCAACAAAAAGAACTGACAAGGCAGGGAATATATAGCACAAAACTCTATAGGATGGAATGAGTCATGGAAAATGAAGAAAAAAAATGTGAGTTGCTTCTGGCCTTTCCTGATAACCTTAGAAAGCATTGAGGGAAATTTTGACTGATTCATTACTAAATAATCCGATTTGAAGACTTCTGCTCAAATGTCAAAGTCAAGGGATAAAAGAATCTTTCCACTTCGCCAATGGTGAGTTTTTTCAGTAATGCTTAGTTCTAATTTAAATGGTTTAGGCTTAATATGGGATAAAATAAGAGTGTGAAGAATTTGAGGTCGATTATTAAAAGCAGTGCAAACTGACAAGACAGTAAGCTTTAGCCCTCTCAGTTTATGACTTAGGGGGAGAGGGGTTATGGATCAAATACATTCTAGGAACACAGTGGAGTACCAAATTGGAAAGGGAGGGTTGTTGAAGATGAATATTTCTGTTTCTTTAGTACTCAGTATGTACAAGTGGCTTATGACTCCTTTATTAATAATGCAGTACAAAAACTAAAAAAGAAATCTCCTTTTCCTTAAGGGATCATTATTTATATTATATATTTCTCTTTAGGTTAGGATCTTTTTGTGACATAAACTCTAAATGTGTCAAAATTTCATATGACTAACAGCAAACATATGAGAGAAAGAAATGTCTTGGTATTATATGTTGAGAAAAATCTATATAAAAAAGACTAATTGAGGTTTATTACATTTCGAGCACTGAATTCTGTTTCACTCAAAACTCCACTCTACATTACCTTTCCATTTTTATTTTACTTCCTACTCTTAAATAATGCTTTACAGTTTTCAAACTGTTTTCTGAACAATATTTCAATGTTTTTCCCTCCTCATTAAGTATCTTGGGTAGATAAAGCCAGTTATTTAAAGATTTATTTTTTTACATGGAAATGTCACAAGGAAACTCCCTGTGTAGCTATCTTTATCTTAAATAAATAAATATTTATTTTTGTGGTGCTGGGGCATCAAACTCAGGACCTTGTGAGGCAAACACTCTACAACTGAGCTAAGCCTCCACCAGCCCCTATTAAAGATTTTAAAGATTAGAAAGCTGAGTTTCAAGGAAATGTCTTACCACAGGTCAAAGACCAGACGTGGAGACTATTCATTAATAAGCATGATATCAATGGCTTACACTGCATGCTTTTTCTAGGATACTATAGCTACTTATCAATGCCTCAACTTCTTTCACCTGTGTGAACAAAATACTTTTGATCAGACCCTCCCCATTTTTTTTTCATGAGCTAGAATTTCTTATGTAGCCCAGACTGTCCTTGAACTTAAAATCCTCTTGCCTTAGGCCTTCCAAGTGTTGGGCTCCTATGCCTTAGTTGAGTTGGTGTCATAACTGGGCCTTTAATTAATTAATTAATTAATTAATTAATTTTTGTGAACTAGAGATTGAACCCAGAGCCTCATGCTTGCAAGGCAAGCACTTTACTACCTGAGCTTTGGCCTTGGTCCTTCTGTTTTATTTTGGTTTTTGAGATAGGGTTCTGCTAACTTTGTGCTGGTTGAACTCAAACTTGAGATCCTCCTGATTCTGCCTTGCCTCCTAAGTAGCTGAGATTACAGACCTGAGCCACCCTACACAGCTATAACTAGCCCTTTAAGAGACCTATCCATATCCCACCACTTTGCTTCAGTTCACTGGGACCTACAAGACTAATGTGGGCCTCCTGACATGTGTCACTCTCTTCACACAGGCCTTTACTTGGCCATGTCTCTACTACTTACTCAATTTCTAGTATCTGAATACCAGGAAAGCTTTTTTTTTTTTCAGTACTGGGGCTTGAACTCAGGGCCTTCATCTTAAGCCACTCCACCAGCCCTTTTTGTGATGGGTATTTTCGAGATAGGGCCTCTTGAACTATTTGCCCGGGCTGGTTTCCGAGATCCTCCTGATTTCTGCCTCTCCAGTAGCTAAGATTACAGGTGTGAGCCACTGGCACCCGGCTGAATGAATATTCTTACTGGTTTGTATGCTGCTTAAGATGAGAAAAAATTGATCCCTTTAACCAGAGACAGTGTGGGTAGAAGGGTCAATTTCTTGCAAATACTGTTTGAATTTAGAAAGAGAAATGTTGTGTGTGGCTGACACCTACTGCACAAATAGGGAGATGGCAGGAACCTGTTTCTTAGTTGAGCTATCGTGGTCTGATATTCCCTTTGTAAAACAACACATGAAAGGTGTCTGTTAATGCAAAAGAATAGAGCACAAGGGCTGGTGGAGTGGCTCAAGTGGTAGAGTGCCTGCTTAGCAAGCATGAAGTTCTGAGTTCAAGCCCCAGTACTGCCAAAAAAAAAAAAAAAAAACCAGAATAGAGTGCAAAGCTCATCCATTCCATTCTCGTTTTGTTTTCCAGATCCAATAGACAGCAGTTTATTCTTGTTCTTTGGAATAAAACTGTGAAGGCTGAGGTCATTAATGAAGGACCAAAACCCTGGAGTCAACTCACAGTCCACATTCCCATTCCACTCTTCTTTTTCTATCTACACTCCTGAAGTCAGAAGGAAACTACTTTAAAGTTTATGGTCCACTAGACAATGACTTCCTGAGCCAGCAGGTCTAGAAGTCTTTATATCGTTTAAAAAGGGAGGGGCAGGTGAACATCAGTGGGAAGGGAAAGGAAATATAAAATAAAAGGCCAATACAGGTCAGAAAGAAAGGAAGATGAAATGAGGAGGCTCAGTCAGTTAATGAGCCCCCTTCAATTTGCCTCTGTTTGCCTTCTGGACACATTTCTAAATTCAAAACAAGTTGGATCTTCTAGAGTTTTGCAGTCCTGAGAATTTGGATGGAGCCTACCCTGTATTATGATGGTTCATTAATTCATGTTCTTCTAGAGATGATGATGAATCCTTGCTCTGACACTAGAGACAAAACCTCAGGCAGATTATCTCTCTGTCTCTTGCACTTGGCTGACTTCCAGAGATGCAGCTCAGGACTAGTGGGAAAGAAAGAAAGATGCACTCCCCATAACAGGCCATATCTCCTTGACTCCTTTGCTGGGCCCAATCTGTCTGGAGCTTTAATATTCTTCTTTCTAAGGACTTAGGTGAACTCTATTTCTGAGTACTTAAATATGGAAACTCCATGGCCTAATTGGTTTTTATTATGCTTACCCAAGATGAAGGCTCAGGTCTTGAAGGTGTGGAAGGCAAGTTTCCCAAGGGCAGAGACTTGCTTTCTTCCCTGCTATAATCCCAATACCTAAAATGGTGCCTAGTACTCAATAAATATGACTGAATGAGTGAATAAATGGTGGTATTCATTAATGCATAGTAAGTAAACACAACAATTGTCAGGTGACTTGTTGTTGTACTAATTACAGTAAGAAGTAGTCCCCAGGGCCTGGACAGGGGCTGAACTGTAGAAAAGGGAGAAAACACAGTTCTGGTTTTGACTTTGAAACTATTTTCTGTGGAGCACAGCTCTCAAGCAGTTACTAGCACAATCCCACCACAATCTTGTATTCAGTGCACCCTTCCAAGTCACCTTTTGTCTTCAAACCAGCACCCCCTTTCCCAAATCTCCACTTCCTATTAACATCAAGTGCTGTTTCCTGGAGAAGATAGGAATAGGCAGAAGAGAGCTTCTGTATCCTGCATCCATGAAATCTGTCTATCTGCCTGTAGCTTTTGCCTATAGTCTGCCTTCCCTAGAATAGAAATGGATGTGCTGTCTGTGCTATTTACCTCATCCCTGTGTAAGCTAGCTATTCTGCCCTA